ACTACTTTTTCGATAGTACCCAAGAAATTACTTCTAGATAATGCGGCTAAAAAGAGCTTGCAAGGAAGGTATTCGCCTACAATACGTCATAGAACACTTAGGAACGAATATTGTTATCTGTATAATAAAAAGGTGTTTTCGCAGGTCGGGTTTTCTTTTCGGAAAAAAGTGGTCAGAGGATCGATGGGAAGAGTTGATGCTATCACGTTTTGCTAGAAAGCTTTAATTTAAAAATATAAACTTTATTAAAATATATATATACTCTTTTATTTTAAACCTAACCTTAAATTTTAGTTCAAAATTTTTTAAAAATCATATATTAAATAGGTTTAATTTCAACTTCAGCACCAACTGTGACAATAAATATAAAATTTTATAAAATATATACAATACTTACAAGATCTTTATAAGTAATATTATTACCTATAGAAATAAAAATCTGAGTGCTATTCCTTAGCAGTACTAACTTATATATCTATCTATTATAACCTTGTAAAATTTGCTTCTAGAGATTCTTGTGAACTTCTATTATTAACATATTATAATCCTTTCATTTAGTATAATGACTAATTGATTTTCTCAAAAATTATAAATTGTTTGATTATCTTTTGTGATTCTATAAAATTTATTATAAGAAACCTTGAATTAGATAGATCTAAAATATTACAAAAGAAAAACTAATTATTTTTTTTATTGAAATATTCAACAGTCATGATAATTTTTCAATTTCTATTAATAATATAATATTATAATTTATTTTTATAATGTTAATTTAAATATTGTAATATCTTTTATTGGTCTAAATCTATTATTGGAGTATTATTTATACACTATATCTCTAATGATAAAACAGCAAATTGTAATTATCTATTGAGCTGTCAGAAAAATATCCAAGGTAATATAAATCTATAATTTTTTTGAGTTAATCCATCATCTGAAGAATCCTTATTCAAATTAATCTTATAAACTTGTGGTAGATTCGATGTTTGGGATATAGCAGGTCTTATAAAATAAATAATTAATACATTTAAAAAATAAAAGATTTTGTTAACAAAATAACTCCATAACTTCTAAAGGATCGTTTGTTAACAAAAATCCTATACTCTAATCCTTACAGTTGAGAAAATTCTCCTGAATCTGCTGTGAATTTACAGGTTACAGTTCCATATTGAAAAATACAATTATTCTCCTTAAATTCTGATTGCGTCCAACTAAAGTTAACTCTATATGAATTCTCATTATCCATAAACAAAACATAGCCTATAGTTTTTAACTTTGGATCTTGTCGCACATTCCAATCATCATAATTAACTAATTGTTTCAATCTTAGTTCACTAGCCTCACCCTGAAAAAAACAAGAATACTTTCATTGCACAGGACTATATCGGAAAGAAGGCTCATTTTCAAAAAGAAAAACAAATATATTTTCTGGAAAAGCGTGAATAGAAACTTGTTTTGCGCCTATCGAATGTCTATTAAAGCCAAGACGTTTTTTAACAAGAACTATAAATGCATCTTGATAAAACATAACTTGCTCGAAGGGTGGTTGAAAAAGAAAATTGCGATGAGGTATAGTTTTGTTATTCCGATGCTTAATTCTTTCATGAATTACGAGCTTCATTCGGGAAGGAAAAACCTCTTCACAAAGTTGACATCTACTAGCCATTGCTGAGAAGTTCTAACGATACCGGTATTTTTTTTTTTATAATTTAAATTATAGTGATATATGTAATCGAATGGCCACCAATTTTATTGGTTAATGATCATCTATGTGACAAAATCGAGTTCATGTGACATATTCAATGGAAACAAATCCGCCTACATGACAAGAGTGTAAAGACGATCTATCAATACTCATTGGTGGAATTAAATTCATGAAAACTCAAGTCATTAACTTAAATACGTATAATACCAAGTGAAAACTTCAATATAATACCCAATGATTGGAAGCAGATAGTTTTACAATGTACCGATAGTGTTTTTTTTTTCAGTTGTAAAAGCAGAAACCATACCGATAAATTTAATCTATTTTTACTTTGTTCGAAGTGAAATGAATTCTACGAATCCCGATTTCTTAGTTGATATGAATTCCTGTGTCATTAAAATAGTATAATGGCTTAAATATTTTAAGATATTGGAATTTTTTTGTTTACGTATTTTCTTGGTACGTACCTTGGATAGCCACAAAACTTTAAAATATAATTTGGTCTCAATTGAGGCAGTGCTATACAGCCACAACTATGAGTGTGCTAACACAAAAATTTTATGCTTCATTTTCTCATAAAAGATTACCTTAGTATTTATTAGTGAAAGTTATAAAAACTGGCCTATAAAATAAAATAATTAAAAATAAGAAAATAATTACGCATCGAGGCCAAATATTTAAAAAAATAACACAAATTAGAGCCCAAATAATTTTTGATGTGACTCGAAATTATGCCTTAAAATTAATAATTTAAATGCTTCAAATCGATAATTGTCTAATCCGAAACTCAAAATATATAGTTTTTGTTTCGGAAAATCAAAATTCCGAAATTATAAGAAAAAACGAAAAGATAATAGTTTCAGGTAATAAGTAAATATCTTGTACCAATTTAATTTCTTCTTATAATAACATAATTCCAAATATGATATTGAAATTTGTATGATTTAATTAATATTTATCGATGAGAATATTTACTGGAAAGTTGATTGACGCAACAACTCTAATATGTTTTTTTAAATTTAAACTGGGCCAATATTTTTTTGGCCCTGATTTTTGTTATTATAAAATAAAAATATTTGCAGGTTTTCTAGACTTAGCCAGCAAAGCCTACGTAAATATTGAAAAGCATGAATAAAAGAAATTAATTCTTGATTTCTAATCCTTTTAAACAATTGATTAACCAAAACAGTTAATTATTTAAAATTATGGATTACGAGGATGAAACTACAGAAAAACTTGAGATAGAAGTTGAAAAAGGAGTGGAACAAGAAATATCTGAATCCATATTATTTAAACAATATGCAGCAGTTAGTAGAGACGAATCATTTATAGCTGTTTTTGATAGTAAGTTTTTTTTTTAATTAATTATTATAATATAATCTTAAGCAATTTATTTAAATAATTGAATTAAATTTAAATTTATTTTAGTAAACGATGTCAAAGATCCCATATTAAAATTATACGAAATTAAATTTGATGAAAAATATAAAACTATTTCCGGTTCTTATACTGAACGATTAATATTTGAAAATGATCAATATGCCTTGATGGAATCTAAAGATTTTTCAAGTTTGACAGTTGCTGTATCAAATGAACTTACTTTTAATGAAGCAAAATTTAGAGTGGTTGCTATATCTTGTATATCTCATAAAGATATGTACAAAGATTATGATGGTGAGAACGGTTTTACTAAATTATGGACAATTACATACGACTCAGAAAAAAACGACTATGAAGCTACAGATTGTTCACTAGACATAGAACATGGTGGAATAATTCAATTTCTTTCTGAAATGACTACTGAATACACACAATTTACACTTCTTCTTTTAAGAGAATCTGGAATTTATAAATATAAATATAGTTTACGGCATTCATATTATTACTTTCAATCTTTCCTTCGTGATGATACGTTAGCATTAGAATATTCCGAAAGAATATATAATGCTTTAAAATATAATTGCAGTGATAATATTAGTAAACATTTGACTGTCCCAAAAAGCGATACTGCACGTAGATATCTTTTAAGATGCTTAAGTAGGCATTTTTTGTTGGTAGATACATCTGAAAGAGATCCAAACAAAAATATTGAAATTTATAATTTAAAAACTAATCAATTAATGAATGTATTTCAGAGGCATAAATCTGCTTTATCTATTTTGGATCGTGAAAAACCTGGTGCGTTTGCTGTATCTAATGATGAAAAGTTATTGGCTTACGTATCTGGAAATGACGTTAAGATCTATTCGATAGAAAATGGCCTAGAATTATCTTCTATAACAAGTAGTGATTCAATGCAAAATGTAGAATTTATGAAATTTGATAATAGAAATAAGAATTTATTATTATTCAAATCCGACAGAACAGCGGCCGTTTGGGATATTTTTGATACTGTTAGAGATTCTATTGGATTTCAATCTTTGGATAAAGCTACAGGTTTGGCCAAGCATTTGACAAGAATAGTTA